TTTTCGATAAAATAGACTTCTAAATACACCGAATTATTCTCTTTTTGTTTACCAAAAATCAATAAATAACTACATATGTAAAAAATGAATTATGCATAGTCAAGAAGTGAACTATAATTTAATTTTAAATATATTGTTATTTATTAATTTATTAATCAGAGGAGAAAAGGAAAAAATTTTTTATATATTTTTTCTGTTCTGTCGAGTGAAAACGTTTCTATTTCAATTTATTTTACAAGAATTCTTATCATATGTTTTCTTATGTATGTTTTCTGATGTTATATTTAAGATGCAATCAATAGAAGATTTAATACTTTTATAGATTTAATACTTTTATCCAGAATAATTAGAGAAATCATATTATGTAATAAAAAATATATAATTCCATTTAAGAAAATGTAGATCACCTTAAAATTTTAGAGATACCTTCATCTAGAAAAAATATGTTCACAAAATATCTTTTTTTAAATAATGTTAAATAAATTTTACTTAAAACATTTTTTTTTCAAATAACGGAATTCAGAAGATAAGATTGCGTGGATATAGGTCTCCTAAAGAGACATTTCCTTATTTCTCAGAAACTAAACATTGCACTTTATTAACACTGATAAAAATATGATCTACTTAGATAATTAAAGAAGCAAAAATCCATAATTTATATGTTTGTAGGTTATTTTTATTGTATAAAATCAATTAAAAATTACTTTTAATGCGAAAATAAAATTCTTATAATTTTTTTGCAAATTACAGTAGTTTAAACAATAATAAGTATAATATTATTAATATTGGATTATTTTACAAGTTTGTAACTTCCTATTACTATTTTATTTATATTTTTCTTTTTCTTATTTTTCTTATAATGCGATAATTTTAAATACAAAATAAGATTATAGCGTAAACTGGTACATATAAGACTACGTTCGAAAACATTGCACGAGTATGATATGGTAACTTGACCTAATATAACCCTTATTACATTACGACTTGCTTTTTATGGAATAACATAATCAAAAAGTATGTTGTATAAATAAAAGTATGTTGTATAAATTTACACAAAGTAATTATATCATCACAACTTTGAAGTAAAGAATTCTAGGAATTTAGGAGTATACTAGTAGGTATTTTGTGTTGTTTGATGGCTTCTGTAGAAGAAAAAGAAACTATATCGTCACATCATCATAATAAAGGAAAAAGATTTTGACAATCCGGCAAAAGCAAGCTGTTCGCTTGCTAGAGAATAAGAAAATAGAATGATTAAAAAAGTCTAACTCTTCTATTATAGGATCTATCTCTGAATTCTGGCATCATAGCTAACTATGTCAGTTTTGAAGCTTATTTTCTCTGATCTTTTATTTTTGATTAATTAATTAAAAATATAAAACAATATAAAAATTGCTATATTATCAAATACTTTCTAGTTTGTATCTGTATTTTCAAAATTGTATGTTTAGCTTTTGTAAAAAATATTCAATAACAATATTGACAATTTTCTTGATATTTCTAAATGTATTATCGCGCGCATAACAACTATGAGCGCACGTAAAACTATCGTTCAATTTCGCGGATGCACGCTCATTCCGAATTTTCATAATATAAAGCAGATGCATGCTCATTCCCGAATCTTAATTAACCTAATTAAGTATCCTTATATTCCTAATTCAAGAATGTCGGGTTTTTAACGTCAAGTAAAAAAGGAATGCTTGGCGACGAGTATATTGTTGAGGTAGCAGCGAAGAAATCGACGATTCATCAAAAGTAGAAAAATTTACGATCGCACTTTTTTGTAGTTTTACACATGAATAAAACGCCTGAGTTCTTTTTGTAAAGTGTTATTCTTTTTCTAGGTGCATGCATTTCAAAAGAGCAATCGTCGTTTTTGAGCCCGATAGCCCGAAAATGCAACATTTTTCAGGACTCGTTCGCGATAGCGTGCAAAATACCGATAAGGAAAAGACTACGACGATATCAGACTACTTGCGATATCAGAATTTACAATGGATATGAAAAGATTGCAAACTGCATTACAAGAAATTTGTCAGAAACATATTTTTGCGAGGATATATTCGAGTTGTAAAGAAGATTAAATTCATGGAGTTGTTATATTCAATTTTGGAGGATATCTTTTATAAGAAAGATTTTTGCAGTCCGCACCGAAACCGACCCGTGTTGCCGCGCCAATATTTAATGTAAAATTTTTTGTAAAAGTGATAAATTCACTCTTCGATATGAAAATTTCTCGAAAAAAAAAAAGGAAATAGACTCTTTACATAAAAAATAATTAAAGACAACGAGAGGCGTGTAAATTTAATGCCATTTTTTTATTTCTTTTGCCAAAACTGACTAAAAAGAAGATATTAAATGGGATGGAGCAGATATATTAAGCAAAGAGGATTTTAAATGAACTGGAAGGAGTTATAGCGGTTGGACAACAGCTGGAAAGCAGATCCAACAACCAGCTGCTGACTCTCGGTTCGTCCCTTTGATCGTTTCTTAGTTATATCCATGTTGAAGAATTACACATGAATGAGAAGAGAAGACGGTTATATGCTGCTAATGTGCCGTAATAATCAATAGACAATGTAGCATTAATAACATATAACGCGTATACTAAATTAACAATACAAAATTATATTTAAGAAAACTGTGTACGTTTTATATAAAGCATTTGGCTTTGTCATCATATGGAAGAATCTATCTTTATATAGCACTAAATTCTTGTTAAATATTGTATTTCTTTGAGAAAAAAATTTAATGTTTTCTATCTGATATTAAATTAATATTAAAAATAAATTATAATAATTCAATAAATTATTATAATTTTATCATTTTTTATATCTTATAATTTTAATCATTCTGTGACATTTGAGTCAATTACTAGTTAGTAAGGATTACAAAGATCTGTTATTATATTGAGAATGTCATTATATTGAGAAAATCAACAAGAAAATTTTTACGACAATTTTTGCGAAAATTTTTGCAAGCGCGCATCATCGATGGCAAGTAATAAAATCATGATCTATTTGTTAATGAATTGATAATCGAAAATCATATTAATAAGATTCGTTGGCTTGTATTCTGTTGCAATATAATACGAATATAAAAAGCATTTTTTATTTACATTGAAAACATCATGTTGTGAATCCTTTAATAGATTAAATAAATTTAAATTAGATAAGAAATTTTTTTTATTTTGTTAACTTACTGTCTTTTGCACATATTACATATATGATATATTGTTAAAAAATATATCATATATTAATTATATTGAACTTCCTAATAAATATATATTCCTAATATCGAAATCATAAAAAAAATCTTTCCTTTGAATAACGTTGCCTCTTCTTATTCATATTATTCATATTATTTAAAATTGTAAATACTTTAATTATATAAATAACAGAAAACAAAATAACAATAAAATTTATAATTTTTAATTTAAAATCCATGTATAAATTAGATTAATGTATGATATATTTCTCTTTTATATTAATAAACTTATAAGGAAATAAACTTATAAGGAATCATTCAATTCGAAAATTTGAAAAATTATAAAACTTTGATAACAAAGAATATTTGTTGTAGAGAATATTTGATTTATAATTTTTATCTCCTACCCGAAATTACTATAAAGAGATAAAATCAATGTTCAAAAATGATTCATTTTTCACACTAACAAAAAGGAATAGAACACACACACACATACACATACACATATATATATATATATATATAGAAGAAAATTTGTTTTTTAAATAAATCGAGCTATCGATCAAAGCTCCCGATCAAAGACTATTTACTAAGAATTTGCAATTACTTTTGAGATCCAATAATCTTGGGTATTTTAGTCAGTTCACGTGAAGATACATGGGCTTGTCTCTGGGGCGTAAACGCTGGCAGACACGCTTGACGCGAACCTCAACCGTGTCTCTTAATTATAAGCGCTTGCTACATAAGAGGGATCTGGATCACTACTTTCGATCTTGATGTCAACATTGTAACATTCAAATGTGATGTATTTAAAACAGCGAAAACTAATTTTTTAAATTTATTTAAAAATGCTTGAAAATTATTTGCTGCAAATATTTTATACACTAAATACGATTTAAAATCAAAATTGAAAATTCAGAGTGGCTGATTAAAAGTAATGGATCTAAATTCTAAATAGAATATAAAATTATTTAAAAATTGTTTTCTAAAAATGCATAGTGAGCTTATGAATCGTCATGTCGAGACAAAATGAATTATGAAGACACTTGAAGATCAATCTTTATATAAATAAGGTAATGCTAGTAAAAAGATTTTTGTAATCGCTGATTTTAAAAATTATTGGATGTAATATAAAAGTATTGGTCAAAATCTTATAATAATGCATACAAAGACTTTTTATTTTGCCTGTTTGGAATATATCATTTGATACATATTTACATGCAAAACATGCAAAATGATATATATACATAAAACGCGTGAATACATACACACATGCATACACATACACATACATACATACAAATACGCGCGTACAAGTGCATACATACATACATACATACATACATACATACATACACCTACAGTTATCAAACTATTAATATTTCATATTGTATATTTTATTTTTGCATATTTAGAAATATAAAATATCGTAAACTATTGATTTTTTAATGACTTTGTGCTAAATATTTTTATATGCAGAATAATTTTCATATAAAAGATTATATAATTTGATTTAAAAAACGCTAATATAAAAAGATAACATGAGGCTGGATCTACGAATGGATTAATATCCTAATCATATCATATCTTCGAAATTCTGTAATTTTCATGAAACACTTTTTTTTCTAAACTGTGTTGTCTTCGAGATATTTAGAAGTTTTTCGGTGTAGAAAATGAGAATATTTTTTACACTTTATATAAATATATTTTTTATTTCAGAACACTGTATAAGTTCTTAATCTGTAACTTTAGTAGTCTTAATCAAAGGCTTTAATTAATTGAACTCAAAATAAATGACGACATCCAATCTCAACACAAATTCACTCGCCAACACATGAAAATCAAGATGATCAATCAGTCGCGGAAATGAACTCTATAACAAGCTTTTTAAAGAGAAATTCTATGCAAATGAGCAAGTATTGTGATTTGCATCTTAATAACGAGATAAGAATGCAACCGAAATCGATAAAAAAAAATGTTTGCGTTATATATTTATTATTATTATTATCTATACTCGAGCATTATGAATACTATCTATATTAGCCTTATGAAATACTAGCGTACTAGCGTACTATCTATACTAGCATTTCGATATAACGACGATTATATGGATTCGCTTAACATCTCATTATCATTTAGCTCTAGATTTATTTAACAATTTAAAACATTAAGTATGAAATAAAAAATAATGGACTTTTATTATTGATAAGAATAGAAAATTAATAAAAGATATTGAGAGTAACAGCCTGATAATAAATACGTTCTTTTTCTTCTTTCCTCCAGTCATATATTTAAACTTACAAATCCATACGTTTCGGCTCTTTTCGAGCCATCTTCGGCGAAAAATTAAAATGTATATGAAAAATTTATGTGATAAAAAATTTAGAATAGATAGACATTATCACTCGCGAAGAACTTTTCGATAAAGCATATAGAAAATGAAAATCGTCTTAATCGTTAATCATTATAATATCTACAAGTAAATGGCACAAGTAAAAAAAATTCAATTATCTACGTTCGTTAAAACAAATTTGCTTTGTTCCACCGCGATTGCGGATTTTAATTCGTTCTTTTCAATACATAGACGTAAATACACATAAATACAAATACGCCCACTTTCGACTTGTCCGCGCGCACGTTTACTCGCGATATATGCTCGCTTCAGTCTCGTGTGTTGTGTGTATGTACGCATACATGCTTTTTTATGCCCTTTCAATCTACGTTTATTCATTCTTTTATGGATACCAACTGGGCTCGCCTTTCATTTTGTTTCAACGGAGGAGGAGAGAACCGAATGAAAAGTTGAAACGGGCGGAGGAAAAGAGTAGAAATAAACGAATGGGTGGATAGGGGAGGGAGGGGAGGGGGGGGGGGACGGAGTGTAGGAGGGTATGTACGGAGGAAGAAGGGAAGCGGGCGACCGAGGGAAATGAAAAAGGAGGCAAGGAGAAAGGGGGCGAGAGCGGGTGGCGCGGGTTGTTACTGCCGCGGTAGTGCCGCGGGAGGGGCGGGAGGGGAAAGGTTCGCTTGAAGGTGGAGGAAGAGTATATAAACCTGTAGAAATGCATTAGGTACCTACCTACGGGCGATATTACCCAGGGAAAAATTCTGCTTCTCAAAGGGTCGCCCCGAGTGCTTTTCAAAGTAGATTTTCGGAACGAGTTTGTCCGATCTTTCTTAAAAGGATCGCATCGGAAAAGGGAAATTGCACTAACTCGATGGACACGATGGCCTACCGATTTAATCATCAACGCCGTAAGATTTCAAAATGTTTTATTTTTCTCTGTTCAAGCAAGGTAAAAGTTGTGTACAGTATCAATTTTCAACTTAGATATTAATAAATCTAAATAGATTTTATCGCGATGAAGCCGTTTGCAATATCAAAATGCGTATGCGGTAATCGAGGAGATACCATCAATAATGGTATAATGTAAAATTATTATTTATTAAAAATTTTCAGCTAGTAATTGACGAAAAACTCTATATTCTATTTAAGTACTAAATTATATAATCCATAAACGCGCGCACGCGTATGTGTGAATATTAAAAAAAGTTCAACATTTTATAAAGGACATAGAAAATCGCTTCTATTTCTAATAAGATTTGTTTCTTAATTTATGTTATAATTAGATATTTACTATTTTTACTTTAATAACTTTGAAAAATATTGTCCGCCACTAAGTTTTAAACAT